AGTCTTTTAATATATATATATATATATATATATTTGCTTCATAGACTGCTATCCATTTTTCAGAGAACACAGCCCTTTTCTTCTACACTTTTTTATTATGTTTATTTATATCCATAACTCACCCAGTCTCTCCAGTACCACAGTTGCATTGGCTGAAAGTTCTCCAGCAAACACCTGACACATGTAAACTCCTTTAGTGAAGAACTCAACTCTGTATCGCTCATCTGATGAATCTGATAAAGTCTGATTGTTTTGGTACAGCAGAACCAGAATATCTTTATCTTCATCTGTTTTCTTCCATGAAACCTCTTCAATGTGTTCAGGTGTGATGTGAGAGTCTACAGAGCAGTTCAGAGGGACGTCCTCACCCACAGACGCAGATATGGACTCATCTGATCGTGATACTAGCAAACGCTCTGAAAGAACAAACAGTGTAAACACCACAGCATGAAATATATAGTACAAAGTTCAGTTAAGATATTTCTATGGATTTATTTTAGTTGTTACTTACCAACATATTTTATTTGAACCACAGTCTCACCAGAATCCTGCTGACTGTAGACTCTACATGTGTATCGTCCCTCATCTTCAGCTCTCAGATTGTCCAGACAGATAGCGAACGCAAGTTGAGCTGAGCCCATTCCAGGAGGCGCCCTGGCGATTTATATATGACACCACTGCCATGCTGTCTGAGCGGACTAGCACGTGGTGTCCCCTTAGGTCTGGCAGAAAGGTGCGAAGGCCCAAACATACTGCCAACATTTCCAGGCAGTTGATGTGAAGCCGACTCTCCTCTTTTGACCAATGGCCGAAAGCCGGTTTGCCATCGCACAGAGTTCCCCAACCCGTGTTGGAAGTGTCTGTCGAGACTACCTTCCTTCTGCAGACCATACCCAGGGGCACGCCCCGATCCATCCACTGAGAGTCTTTCCAAGGGGCCAGGGCTGCTACGCAGGCCCAGCTCACCTTGACACGCATGCGCCCATGGCGCCAGGCGTGGGACGGAACTCGTGGTTTCAGCCAGTACTGAAGGGGCCGCATGCGAAGCAGGCCCAGCTAAAGTACTGGAGACGCAGAGGCCATGAGGCCGAACATCTTCTGAAACGCCTTGAGAGGGCGAAGGTCTCCAATTTTGAATGAGGCCGCGAGCTGCCGAATAGCCACGATCTGGTGTGACTACTGCCCTCATTCGGGCTGAGTCGAGAACTGTTCCCAGGAATGATATCCGTTGGCTGGGGGACAGCACGCTCTTGGCAAAATTGACCCTGAGTCCCAGGCATTCTAAGTGGCTGAGGAGGAAAGATCTGTGAAATAGTAGCTCATCTTCCGACGATGCGGATTCCCATCTGTCTCAGCGGGGAAAGAGCAGCATCCATGCACTTCGTAAAAGTGCGACGAGCTATGGACAGTCCGAAGGGAAGGACCGTGTATTGATATGTCACTCCCTCGAAGGCGAATCTCAAGAATCGCCTGTGGTGGGGGGCTATCTGGATGTGAAAGTAGGTGTCTTGATAGTAGTTTGTCCTCCGACTGGGCCAGAATGAGCCAGTCATTGAGGGTAATTCCCATCTGTCTCAGTGGGGAAAGAGCACAATCCATGCACTTCGTAAAAGTGCGAGGAGCTAGGGACAGTTTAAAGGAAAGGACCGTGTATTGATACGCCACTCCCTCAAAGGCAAATCTCAAGAATCGTCTGTGGTGGGGGGCTATCTGGATGTGAAAGTAGGCATCTTTCAGATCCAGCGAAACGAACCAGTCCCCTGGGCACACTTGCGAGAGGATCTGCTTCAATGTAATCATCCTGAATGGCCGTCACATGGGCCTTAGGCCGCCATCCTTTTTGGGGACGAAGAAATATTGGCTGTAGAAGCTTGACTCACTCTGAGCTGGGGGAACCATTTCTATGGCTCCTTTTGCCAGCAAATTTATCACCTCGGCGCGCAGGACGTGTGCATCCTTGCTCTGAACCGAGGTGGAGACCACGCCGCTGAAATGTGGGGGTCTTCGAGGTAATTGAATTGAATAACCTCGTTCTATTATCCCCAGAACCCACTTTGACACTCCGGGGATGGCCTGCTTTTGCTCTCTTTTTGAAAATGTTCTATTTTTCTCACTATAACAGCAATAGGTTGTGCGGGTGCTAACTGAACGGGCCCGGGGTTCACAACAATATTCACCACAAACACATTGCCATCAGCACCCAGAAGTAAACGGGGTGCTTGGAGGCACAAAAGAGGCTGCTTGGGGGGTGGTCCGGCGATGGCGAGACTTTGCCCCTCCTCTTCCTGTCCTACGGATCAGGTTGACGCCTGAGGCACCGGGTCCAGCACTACCTTGGGTCGGGGTCCTTGGCGTTTAGGGAATAGGTAACATCTAGCCGAGCGGGAGCGATGCCAGGGCTCAGACTTAGAGACCGGCGGTGCAGCTGATGAGGCGGGCTTCACGGGCTGCTGAGTCAGCGCCATCTTGGGGCGACTGGCATCAGTCGCAGAACTGGAGCATTTTGGCAAGAAGTGTCGCATTGCCTGGGACGACTTCTGCGCAGCAGGGAAACGCTCTGCGAACACTTCGACCGCAGGTCCAAACAGACCAGGGGGGAGACCGGGGAGTCGAGGAAGGGGACCTTATCCGCATCCTTGATCTCTGTGAGGGTCAACCATAGGTGGCGCTCAAGCACCACAAGGCTGGCCATGGATCTGCCGATCGCCTGAGCCGTCATCTTTGTGGCATGTAAAGCCAGGTCGGTCGTGCTGCGTAGCTCTTTGAAAGCTGCGGGGTCCGGTCCAGACTCATCCATTTTCTGGAGAAGTTTGGCCTGAAGGACCTGGAGGACAGCCATGGAGTGAAGGGCCGAGGCCGCTTGTCCAGCAGACGAGTAGGCCCTTCCAGCGAGCGCTGAAGTCATCCTACACGGCTTGGACGGGTGGGCAGCCTTTGCCTTCCAGCTGATGGCCGTGGGCGGGCAGAGATGCACAGGCACTGACTCATCCAGGGGAGGCAGTCTGTCATACCCCTTTTCTTCGGCGCCGTTGACTGTTGTGAGGGCGGACGAAGAGGAGGCACGCAGGCTGGCCGAGTAGGGGGCACGCCAAGATCTGGTGATCTCATCATGGACTTCTGGAAAGAATGGAGAAGCTCGTTGCCAAGGGGCTTGACGGCGCCCCAGCAAGAACCATTCATCCAGGCAGCTGCAGGTGGGCTCCTCCGGCGGAGACCAATCCAAACAAAGCTCTTGCACAGCTTTAGACAGAATGCGGAAAAGGTCGGCGTCCATGCCTGTGCTGGCAGCGCTGGGCTCTGCAGACGGCAGGGGGGGGGGTCGAAAGACGAGCCCGACAGCTCCTCCGCATCTGAAGCAGCCAGAGACACACTGTCGTCCATGGCGTCACACTCACTCCCAGCGAACAAAACCAGATCGCTCGCAGCCGCAGAGGGATGCTGGTCCGGGTGAGAGAAGACGACAGGGGAAGCCTCTCTATGTGGCGAGAGTGAGGCATGCGGGGGCTCAGCCAGAGTGGGCTCACTCATCACCGAGCGCTGAGATCCTCTGCCACGCTGCTTTTTCCTCACAGGCTCCTGGGAGGAAGAAAGCAAGAGGGCACGAGGGGCGGAGTCGGTTTCTGAAAAGAATGCTATCCGTGAGCGCAGAGAGGTGAGACTAATATCCTCGCAATGAGGACATTCCGTCTCGGTCAGTGCAGCTTCAGCGTGGGCAGCGCCCAAGCATGAAATGCACTCGCTGTGACCGTTAGCGGCGTGCAGGGGAGCCCTGCACGAGGGACAGTAGCGGCGCGGCATTTGCAACAACGCCGGAAATTTGCTCAGAAAATGTGCTCTTATAGTCGCCGGATAGCGGCAGGGGACCGGAAGACCACGCTGCTGCAGATGCTGAAGAGCGGCAAAGTCAGTAGAGCAGAGAGGCGTCTTAATCCGCTGCGAGGCTTGTTCACGGCAAAGGCTTCGAGTCTCGTAGAGCGAAGATCTTGTAGTCGTCGCTGAAGGAGAAGAAATCTGAGGATCCTTTGGCGAAATGCACGCTTATAGCAGACGCAGTACGAGTGAAGTATTGATAGGGAACTCATCATCAGTGATAGATCATTAGTGGTCATTATGCCCCTATCAAACCAGTTTTGAAATACCTCATCCATAATGGACAGTACAAAACAAAAGTTTTGAAAATCAGAAAATAGGTAGAGAACGTATAAGACCAGTGTACTTTCTAAACTCAGTTCACATCATAACTGAGTAAGATACTATGAAGTTTGAAGCAACATTGGTGGGTGATGCTAATTGAGAGCAAATAACCAAGTGCAGAAAGAGAGGTGTGCACTATTGCAGGTAAGCCCAACAATGATGTTCAGAATTCAAATTATTCATCCAACACACAATTTTCTGGATATTGCAAGCCCAACAATTTAATCCTATATAATCCTATAAAAAAGAAATGCATACATTACCTATATAAATCAACATGCCTATATCTACCTATACATATACTATACATCTAACTGTACATATACTCTACAAATTAATTTACATGAAAAACTTTGGAAGTACATGAATTAACACAAGTAAGGCCCATTCACCCACCTATGACTAGTCTACTCACTCACATAGGATTGCACATAAGAACTGCATATGAGAACTGTATATACAATTTTGTAATGAATAGTCTTGGGGTACAATAGCAGCAAGAAGTGTGAGCGAGAAGACGGGTGGGAGGGAAGCTGTTGAGCAGGCTGGCAGAGCGGGTTCGGATGCTCTCGTACCGTCTTCTTGATGGCAGGAGCTGGAGACTGTGGGAGGGATGAGTAGGGGTCCTTCACAATGCTGGTGACTCTGCTGGAGCATCGTGCAAGGAAAATGTCCAGGGTGAAGGAGAGAGGGGCGCTGCTGATCTTAGCAGCTGTGTTCACTGTAGGGTTCTCTTGTTTTTAAGGAGCTGCAAAATTGATTTCCAGATTTGAGCTGGCCTACTTCCCCATAAAAAAAGAAATGATACATTTGTCCAAATCCATAACAAAACATTATCTTAAAGTAAATTGGAGAGAGATAAATTAAATTACAAAGTAGCTATATTAAATATGGGAAATCAGCAAACAACAAAACTGCTGAAAACTGGATACATCAAGCAGAAACATGAACAGGTGATAAGTAAAACAGGAGAGATACACCTAAAGCTG